TAGATTATACAATATCGAGTTAGTGAAATTATATGTTATTGTATTGATTCGTTAAAAAATATAATTAATAAGCATGTCTCTCCACTTTTGCAAACAACATGTTTACCTTACAATTGGAATGAGTTCGACTTATTTGTTCTTGGGGCATGGATGAATTGTGATTGCTTAGACTCGTGTTTATAAATAGAACATGAAAAGTATAATTTAAAGGCACTAGTGTCGTTCTATTAATTTCTTTGATATTTTCCTTATTTTTCAATGCAACAACCTCAAACATTGAATCCTCTAATTTAAAAAAGTCAGAAAGATTGATCATATGACAAAGAACAGTTAAATGGATATAAATTATATGATATCGAGTTGGTGAAATCACAAGTCATTATATTAGTTCGTTAGAAAATATAATTAATGAGCACATCTTTCAACTTTTGTAAACAATATATTTATTTGCAACTGAAATGGGTTCAACTAATGGGTTCTCAGGCCATGGATGGATCGTGGCTACTTAAACTCGTGTTTATAGACGAACGACACTAGTGTCTTTTTGTTGTTTTCTACAATATTTTCCTTCTTTTCCAACGCAACCACCTCAAACATGGGATCCCCTAACTTAGGAAAATCAGAAAGATTGATAATATGACAAAGAACTGTTGAATTGGTATAGATTATATTATATCGAGTTTGTGAAATCACAAGTCATTGTATTGATTCGTTAGAAAATATAATTAATTAGCACGTCTCTCAACCTTTGTAAACGACATGTTCATCTTACAATTTAAATGAGTTCAACTTATTGATTATCGGGGTACGGACGAATTGTGGCTGCTTATACTCATTTTATACACAGAATGACACAAATGTCGTTTCATTGTCAGTAACAGCACTCGTGTCGCTTTGTTGATTTCTCCAATATTTTGCTTTTTCTTTTCCAGCGCAACGACAACAAGTATTAGACCCTCTGACTAAGAATGTCAAAAATGTTGATCATGTGATAAAGAACGGTTGAATCAACGTGGATTATATGATATCGACTTGGTGAAATCACAAGTCATTATATTGATTCGTTAGAAAATATAATTAAAGCACATCTCTCAACTTTTGTAAACAGTATGTTCGTCTTGCAACTGAAATGAGTTCAACTCATTGTTTATCGGGGTACGGAAGAGTCGTAGATGGTTATACTTATGTTTATTGATAGAACGGCATGAGGTCATTTTCATTTCAGTAACGACTCATGTGCCATTCTGTCGAGATCTTTGCTTTTTTCCAATACAATGACTTCAAGCATTGGGCCACATAACTTAAGAAAGTCAAAAATGTCGATCGTGTGATGATGAACTGTTGAATTGACAAATATTATATGATGTCGACATTTTTTTCTTAGTAACGACACAAGTATCGTTTTCATAGACAAGTACATTTACAAACATAACGACAATTGTGCCGTTCTCATAGACATTCTCATCTCAATAACGACACAGTGCTGCTCTCATGGGCACTTAATATTTACAAACATAACAATAAGTGATGTTCTCATGTGAAGAAAAACAAACTGATAAAAAAAATGTAACCCCTAATGTATGTAAGACATAATGTTGATTATGTGATAAATAATGATTGAAATGATATGGATTATATGTTATCGAGTTGGTGAAAGAACACAAGTCATTCTACTGATCCATATAAATATCGTAATGAGCATACCTCTCAAATTTTTACATATCATGTCCATCTTACAACGTATATGAGTTCAACTTTTTGGTTCTCAGATCACAGATAAGATGTGACTGCTTATACACATATTTACAAACATAATGACACAGGGCCATTTTCATCTCACTAATGGCACTTGTGTTGTTCTATTATTTTCTCATATATCTTGATTTGTTTTCAACGCAAAAACCTTGAGCAATGAACCCTATAACACATGTAAGACATAAAGGTTTATCATGTGATAAAGAATGATTGAAATAACATAGGTTATAATGGATGCTTATAAGTAACGGTACTTGTGCCGTTCTCATGGACTTTTTCAACTCAGTAACGACACTTTCACCTTTTCTCATAGAAGTTTATAAGTCTTGTAACAGTACTTATTCCGTTCTCATAGACACTCATAAGTCCAGCAATGATACTTGTACCGTTCTAATGAAAGTTTATCATTCATGCAATGTCACTTGTGCTATTCTCATGTCCGGTTATCGATCTAATAACGATACTAGTGCCATTTTCTTAAGACAACGCGGTAAAGATACATGCCAATATTTAACTAAAGGCAAACGTATACTATAGAAAAAAATCCATCTTCTGAAATAAAGTCATCCCACTAATATGCACATTTTCAAACGTAGTCTACAACTTTTTTGTAGTGTCCAAAACATCAAAATCCTCAAATTCCAATAAAAAAATTATATACCTCGAAACAAAATAATTTTTAGGGATACTATAAAACACTAACCCTAAACTCTGATAACCCTAGAATAATATCCTCCACCACTATAATTGTCATTATTTGCACCACTACCACTATACTAATATGTGCCTTACCCACTCCGATTATAAGTGTTATCCCTTCTAAACTCACAAGCACCAAAATGTCCGTCACCACGCCTACGTTTACCTCCATATGGAGCTCGGCTTGCAAACTGAATTAGCCAATGGGTACCTCCTAATTGACTTCCTAGATCAAATCAGGTAGTGACTTTGTCAGTGGTGAATTGTTCATTGTTAAAGAAAATGGTAGCGAATCCTATTTTCCTAACACGACCTATACATCTAATCTGGTATACATAATCATCAATATCATTAGGGATATCAGAATTGATAACATGAGGAATATCAAAGACTACGAGCTGCCACATCGTCACTACCAAATGAGTGTGTTTCCACTCTTAAACGATCTCAATGCTAGTTTGCTTTCCTGGAACAACATGTAAATTAAAGTCAAATCAAGTAATAATCAATATAGACGTAATGAAACAACAATTACACACTAAAGATTAAAAAGATTCAATAAAGTCAAGGGGATACACAACATTTTAAGGTGACGACTTATATACATAGTTTAGTATGTCAATAATCATTCTACTGAAAGTCCAAGATTGGCTAACCAATATAGAAGTTCGATCCAATACAGGTTTGCGTGAAGTAAATGTGTTAAGTAAAAGGGAAAGAAAGCGCAAACGATATTTTATGGAAGTTCGATCCAATGCAATGATCTACGTCCCCCGTTACCAAGCTCTCCGGCACGAGCAAGGCCCTTTTCACTATGTTGATTGACTTATAGCGCAATTCAACCTTTTACAATGCTTTCGGTGACTTACAATTAAGGAGCATCAATCCCTTTACAACGTTGAGCTTTCAGGGATCTCAACACGACTCTCAATACGAAATGAGTTTACAAGCGAAAGACTTCTCTTCTTAATAAATGATGAGTACAAGATTAGGTATAACAAGAGATGTAGGTAAGCACTTTAACAAATAGCAATGAATGGAGCTCAAGTGTTTGATGTGTGAATCTTTGATGTAAGAATGTTTTTTAAGAATGAGTTTTGATCAAAGATTTTTCAAGAGCTAAATGATTTGATAATAAATGATTTGTAAGATCAATGTAGGCTAAAGGTTTATCAAATTTAATGCTCAAGAAGTGTGTTTACAAATGGTAGGTGAGTTGGTACTTATAGCAATTGAAAAATGCCAAAATCTCTGTTCAACAGGACGACCAACCGGACATCCGGATCATAATCGGATGACCCAACTTACCGTTAGAAACACTTTGTCAGAACGGTCAAAAAAGTGACCATTGCTGACGAACCAAACATCCGGTTCGCCATTTGGACTTCCGGATGACCAGAGTGTTTTTTGGGTCATTTTCCTTTTTGTTTTGTTTGCAAATAATGTTTTTCCCTGATTTTATAATGTAAGTTTGTTTTGATCATTTTCGAGAAATATGTTGAAAAAACTTTCTTTTGAAAGGTAATTTTGTGCAAACGTCTTTGTCTCGTAAAATGTGTCGAGTACAAGAAAACTATTACTTGAGCTTGAAAGTGTCATTGCTAGGATTTTAAAGTGATTTACCTTTACAACCGACTCGAGAAAAATCTAGTTATAAAGTCTTTGATAACATGACGCGTAAAGCTTGTGTTCATGAGTGCTCGATTAATCTTTGTTTGAGCTTCCTTGATTGACAACATTTCGTTCAATGGCTTTGACTCAATTTGCCAACATGTAAATTTAAGGATTAAGTTAGAGATAAACATAAGTTTTTTGTTATAATCAAAACATAGTTCAACATCTACAAATAAGGGTACTGTAGTAAAAATAACAAAACATAATATGAAGGAATTCTAAGATCAATAAGCGTAAAGTTCATTAATAACGGGACTTACAGAAAATCACGAAATACATTAAAGCATAATATGAAGAATTTTACTAAAAAAAGGCCTAATTACTTAAATCAAATTACCTATAGTGCAACTCTCTAAGTCTCGGGGCATATCAAAGAGCAAGCAAATTCGCATATCGAAATTTCAATTTATATCAATGCTAATAGATGAATTCTTTTTATTCATCATCTTGAAAACCCCAAATATATCAAAATTCCATCCACGTTAAAAAAACTCAAACTAAAACTAAACTAAATATACAAATAAACTATGATATCATAAAAAATGTCATTTTTACACTTTTTCATTCTAAACATACACCAATGGAAGCACAAAATCATATTTCAACCCCCATTTTGCACTCTGCAATGCTCTCATAAATTTAAGATGGAAACCGACAGTGGGTGAGTATGGTCGCTGGAGATTTTTGGCTGAAATGAATTGTATATGCAGGCGTATAACATCTTTCATTGTACCTTATTTGAGCATGAATGACAATGATTTTAGCCTTTCATATGTCAAGCAAGTAAGAAATTCCTCTCTATATGAATCCGAATAAGGATTGAAACCAAACTTACAAGTCTACAACCAATTAGGGCACCAAATCCAGATTGCTTATTCATCCATGATGCTCCAAATCATCCTAAAATCATGAGCAATTGGCACCAATAATTTAAGGATTAGGTCAAATATTTCAACAGGAAAAAAATCAATTATGGAATACATCTGAGAATACATACCAGAATATTGACAAGGTTAGAATTATCACAAAATATCCAAGCTTGTATAACCTTAGCTTCTTCTCCCAGGTAAGCTGGTTGAAGATCTCAGTTACGTCGACCAAATGCCGCCGCTCAGAATATCTGATCATACATCAGAATAAGTTGTTGGCTCACACATCCCAAGATCAAAATTCCAAAACATGGTACAAAAAAATTGCAAAAAAAAAAAAAGGGGGAAAAAAAGCAGTTATATCCTCTGCGAATTATGTATATCATATTCTCTATCAAGAGTGCAACACGGACTTTTATGGACCTCGAGCATGGCTGGCTAAGCTTAGAAAAATCGAAAGTTACATGTTTGGATACTTAATTTTTTCTTACATGTAAAAAAAAAAGTAAATTTTTTAAAGTATTATTACCTTAGTATCGAGATAAGTTACTTATTTCCAACTTTGACCAATAAATAAGTTATATATTTTAAAACATACTTATTTACTCGTGAGTAAACTTGTGATGCTTAGCCAAACATGCTCCTCATTTAGCATATGGCTTGGGACAAATATCATTACCAAGTAAATTTTTTATCAAAGCAACATACAATTTTCTTGATTGGCAAATTGAAAGGCCTGTGAGGTTTAGACCGTGAAGTTAGTAGCTGGTATAAGTTCGCACAATTGGAAACAGACACCATATAAAAAACTAGTTTTACATTATAAAACCAAGCTACCCATCCGTTTAATCAATAAATCCAAATAACATCTTGACATGTGTATCGATATTTCATAAACTTCACATTATGTTGCAAATAAAAATCCCCTCATAAACCATAGAGGAAGGCAACCAGAGCTTTAGAAAATGATAAAATAAATGTGACACGCAGTTGCCACAGAGATACAATGACAGATGCATTAGACCACCACTTTCCAGTACATTACATAGCCTGCACTGGTCATCAAGGTCAAATAATTCAAGCAAGAACTGGCTTGCCCTTAACTCATAAAGTGCTTGATAAAGTATTATGCCTTGAAACATAAGTAATATAACTAGGAATCGAGTAAACCATCCACGTCCAACTATGGTATGGTCTGCAAAGAACCTAAAAAAAAAAAACAGCTTTCGCCCACCTGCTCTGTATTAGACAAAGTAACAGAAATAAAAATATTCTGATCCTGGTTACATCCGAATATGGCAGCTTGATACTTTCGATTTATATTTATTTTTACCATTGATAAAGTTTTGGATATCTTAGTCGCTGTTGTGGGCAACAATCATATGAAAAAACTTACAATTTCACGTTGTAACACGAGGATGGAAGACAAAGCAAAAACATAACCCAGTGCCCAGTAATGAGATGGAGGAAGCATAGTGCTCCTTCAATACCGTACTCTGGCAAAGCAACCTTATTTATTTGGGATGCTGAATCATAAGGATTAATATAATCATACTCAAGATCGGCCAGGCACATGAGCTGCAATAAGAGTAATTTTCAGAGTTAGATTCTCCTAAAAAGTGTACAAAGAGAAGGGATGGAGATTGATTGTAAAAATAATCAATAGGATGGTCGACTTCTTAGCTTTCACTATCGAGCATCCCCACTTAATTAGCCATTATTTTCTAGCTTATGACCACTGCAGTAGGCAGATTTTTCCAGATTTAAATCACATTGTCCAATGTCCATTACAAACACCAATTTGATAATGCAGACTGTTGGCATGTACGATAAGATCTTCAATAATTTATTTATTTTGTTTATATCATTTATTTAGTTGTTGTTTCATTTTCAATTTATTATTATTTTTGTCTTTTAATTTTTTTTTTTTTAGGGGGAAGGGTTACGTTGCAGGTCAGAAGCAGCTAGTATTATCTTATTCTGATAATTACTTCCTTAAACTTCTTCATATCATTATAACAAACGCATCTTTTCGGAAATAAATAGAATTGATAGCCAGACACATTTAAACCTCCTCGATTGATATCCTTCCCAGTTTTTACCCTTTTGCTCCCACACTAATATTCATGAATATAAGCAATTTTTTACATTCCTAGTCAACAGGTTACTAAAGGTTGGTTCTCTCGTGTCCAGACAACCATAGCCTCTGGTAGACTGCAGATCTGTGGGGAAAGCAATGCTTCAGCTAACTAAAGACCAGCAATTTGGCAAAGCTTAAAACGTTTACTTATTAAGAAAAACAGTAACTTTTCAAATAAATTACTCTTTTTATCGGTCAAAGTTGGAAACAAGTATTTAAGTGAATTCATTTTAAAATTGAAGTAACTGTTTTCTAGGAAAAAATAAAGGCATGTTCTCTTTGTATTTTAGTTTTGTGTTTTGAGTTTTGAATTCATTTTGAGTTTTGTGTTTTTCGTGTCCATTTTGAGATTGTTGAAAATGTGTTCTTTTTGTCATTTTGAAAAATTGTTTTCAAAAATAAAAAAAATGGAAAACCTTGTTTCTCTCTGCTTCTCAATTTCCAAGCTTTACAGACAACAATGGCAGCTTTCAAGCACCTTTCTCTCAAACCCAACGTCACTACTTCTCCAAAACACCGCCGCACCACCTTTCTTCCCTCCTTCTCCGCTGCCTCTTCTCCGCAGAACCCAACCCAAATGCCAATCCCAACTTCTGTAAACCCCTCCCCATCCAACCCATTTCCTACCCAACTAGAACACAACCCCCTCCATCCTAAGAAACCCAGTCCCAATCCCAACCCAAATCTCCACCTGAACAAATCCCACCTCAAGCTGACCAGGGTACTCGGACGTGGACCCGGGATGAAATGTCGTACATCGAGGATGCCCCAGTGATTTCCCCGATTTCGTATCCATCCAGGGTTGCCCCTCTGCCTGAGGATCGTGTGAAAGAAGAGAAGGAAGGTAGTAAAAATTAGAGTGATGAATTTGAGAAGGAGAGGAGGATTGATGACAAGAGGTGGAATGCCATAATGACGAGGAGAAGGGTATTGGGTGAGGAACAGGAGGACGATAATGTTGCGTTCCCGACCCTGATTAAGGGTAGTGGTGTTACTGGCGGTGGTTTCAAGTGGTGACGGTTTTCAGGGTTTGGTGCAGTGGTGGGTCGCGGTGGTACAGTGGTGGTTGGCGGTGATTGAAAACACCCAAAATGCGTTTTGAAAATTTTGGTATGATTATAACTGAAAACACCCGTCGTTTTGGGTTTCCTTTGTAAATTTTTAACTTGTTTTCAAAAACGCGTTTTCAAAAATACGAAAAAAGAATGTGTTTTCACTATTTTAAAAAATCGAAAACAGAAAAAGGTAAAGAAAACATGCCCTAAGTTTTCCAAACATTTTTGGAACAAAAAGTACTTAAAACTAACTTTTACTTTTTTGTTTTTTAAGCTTGGCCATACTACTCCGAATCTATTCAAATAAAACTTCAACATCGGAAAAACGATTCCTCTTCCAACTCTCTTTTTCCTTGCTAAATTAATCCGAATAAAAACTCCACATCCCATAAGACTAATCTTCATCCAACTTTTTTATCAAATCCTACTTTTTTTCTCTCCTTTTCCTATCAAACCATTGAATAGGTATCTGGAATCACAAAATTACTGTATGCACACACAAAAATTTCACCAATTTTCATTTCAACTCCATGAAACACAAGAAAACAGCAGTGCATACTACAAATTGCAATTCATAGATAAATATATACACATAACAAATTTTCTGAAAATTTTTTTTTTTAATTTCTTATTCCTAACTTTAACCAATCAAAAAAATTATTGATTTTAAAACTCAATTATTTACTTATAAATAAACTAGTTAAGCATAGGCAAACTTGACTTTAGCCCTCTTCCAACTCCATCATTAATTCCTTTTTTCCTCACCAAAACAAAACTTCTGCATAAAAAGTTATAATCTTCATCCAACTCCATTATCAGTTCTATTTTTTCCCCTTTTCCTATAAAAAGGTTAAACGGGTATCCCGTGATTACTCTACCATTCTCAAAATTTCACCAAATCCAATTCACTTTTAAATCCGTGGAAAAAAGAAAAAAAAAAAGTGCATACTACAAATTGCAAGTATTCTACATATCGACAAAAAAATTATACTCAAATAGGAATTGGAACAGATATACAATAACAGTTTAATCTTTACCTGGTAAAGTAGTATACCAAGAATAGCTACGAGGAGAAAGAATGATATTAGCCACGCAAATAGATCCCCCATAGCTTTCCTTCCGAGATCTTTTAGCAGATCTACAATAACTAATTATAATTTAATTATGATTAACTTTTTACTTAGCGTCGAGATTAAAATCAGTTTTTTAAGGACGTATTTGAGACTTTGAAACAACTTTTGCAAGGTGACTTTCGTGGATTTTATGAATTTAAAGTAATTTTTATGGATTTGTTAAGAATTAATAGTTGGCGGATTTACGTAGATTTTGACTAAAGAATTTTCATTATCTCTCTATATATAAAAAGTGCATATTTAACGGAATTTGTTGATTTAAAGGAAAAACTAACGGGATTTGTTGTTTTAACGGATTATGTAACGAAATTTCTTGTTTTAAACAGACAGCTGCACCTTCCTTCAGTCTTTTTATCATAACTTTGTATTCCGATATTCAATTGAGACGATTCAAAATGCGTTGGAAAGCTAACTCAAAGAGATATAACTTTTCCTCAGATATCATCTTCCGATTGGATCATTTGACATTAAAAAATGGATCTCAATATGAGGTTGAAAATTGGTGCATAACTTTTTCTTTTGGAAATTGATGTGTGATCATATTTTGACGATATTTCATCCCTTTGATGTCTTCTTTTAAGGTTTGACACAGTTTAGAGTATTTGCACTTTAGTCCCCAAACTTTCGCTTTCTTTCATTTTGGTCCTTGTTCGCTTATTTCTTCCAAATTACGTCATATCCATACAATTGCCACCTAAACCAAAATATAAGTACATTTTAGCACAAAATAATCACACGAGCGTATTAAACAAAGAGGGAAAAACTATGCATTTTACATTCCTATCATACATCTATCTGTTTTCCTCTTTTTTTATTTTTT